TCTGCATGCTCGGGATCACCTTTTTTGAATACAGGTACAATGTTCGCTTTTTTCCACTCCTGCGGGAAGACACCAGTATTGAGGGATTTATTGAATAGCTTGCAGAGGGATGGTGCAATTAAAGAAGCAGTCTCCTTGAGCAGTTTTGCTGGAATGCCATCTGGTCCGGTTGCTTTTGTGACATCTAGAAATTCTAGCACATTTTGAACTTCACTGATTTCAAGCGTTAGTTGACCTGTTGTAGGTTCAGGAACTGCGCTGTTTGATATCACGGTAGGTTCACCATGCGAGTAGACTGATGCAAAGTACGTGTTGAATAGGTTGGCAATCTCCACAGGCGTGTCAGCTGAACATCGAAGAGCTTGATCGTGTGTAGCTTGGTCATTTGTACTTRTGATTCTTTCCATGCTGATGCGATCAGGAATCGAGCGTGATTTAGATTTCGTCTTTAAGATAGACCAGAAGCGCTTTGGATTATTGTACAAATCTGCCTCAAGGGAACCAAAGAATTACTCTCGACTGTTCCTTATCATGTGCTTTACTTGTGCTCGCAAGGATGAGAACCTCTGTTTTAGAAGATTACTCGTAGGATATCTCTTGAGTTTTTTTCTTACAGTGTCTTTCTTCTTGATCAGATTTACTATGGCTCCGTTGATCCACGGCACAGGGTTGCGTCCCTTGAGTCTCTTAGTTGGTATGTATTTAGAGASGGTTGCAAGAAAWRTTTCCTTCCAGGCAAGCCAATCGGTGTTTATATCATCATGATCTATGGTTGAAGAAAGGTTAGCCGTCAAAAGGGCCTTGCGTAGACCTTTGAAGTCTCCATTGCGATAGTTGTACACAAATTTGTGAGATTTTGCCAGGCCTTTAATGAATGCATGGAACTCGTAATTGATGATGGGAGTGGTCTGTAAATACTCCCGCAGTATCTGGAGACAGAACTTCGGTTATACTGATCTGATCTCCTGTGGTATCTAAAGTAGGCTCTTGATAGAGTATCCGCCAGGTGCATTTGACGTCCTGGGGTGTACTTGATCTCGACATCGTAATGTTTTAGCGGAGCCCCATACTTAAGAAAAAATGGTAAACCATCGAGTTGATTTATCATGGCTTGGCTGACGTCACTTCCGTCCGTCCGTCCGTCCGTCCGTCCGTCCGTCCGTCCGTCCGTCCGTCCGTCCGCCGGTCCATCCGTGTACACAACACAGGAATCCCGCTTGATGTCAAAGCAAAACTACTCACAAATGCGGCTCTCAAATGCACAGAAAAAAATCGCTTTATGACAAGCTATAGACCAAAAACAATTTAAAAAAAACTTTCATGTAGTCAAAGATGGATCAAGAAGTGTTCTTCAAGAATTCAGGTGTGTGTTTTTTTAGCAAACAATCGTATATATAATTTTTTTTGACAAGCATTTTTCTCGGCGAACCTTGACAAATCAAAGACTTTCTCTCAAAACATTTTATATTTCTATAGATAGGTTTGATTTTATTTTAATGCTGGAGGAAATATAACACAGAGAGCATATAACAATAACAAACAAATATTCGCTATTTATGTAGCTTTGTAAATCTTTAACAATTCGGTTGTTTTTAACCAACTATCGTATGTTTTTCGCTCAAGAAAAATGCAGCCGGCAAAACAAAGATTTTATAATTTTATATCTTTCCACAGATAATTTATTTAATAATTGAATGAAATATAAATTTACACCAAATATTCAACTGTTTAATAAGCTGTTCGAGCAAGTATGATTATAAAAATGAGCTTAAATTTGTGTTGTTGAGAGATGTTATTGTATAAAGACCTTGTCTTTCACTTTAAAAAGCTAAAAAATATTCAAAAACATTTACAAACGCCAATTTGTACAATACTGACAACAAATTTGGCATTTTGTATTTTGCATTGCCTTTTGAATTATTTTCTATTTTGTCTCAGTTCTTGTCAAGTTTAAATGAATGTAAACTTCGTCTCGTTCTGTAAAAGACCTAATTAATTAAGTAAACTTATTTTCTGCTCGCCTTAACCAGTTTTCAAGTCTGTTTTTTAGTCTTGATTTGTCCTAAAGGGCTCCAGCTTTTAAAATTTCAATGAAAGACATCCGAGGTAAATTTCACTAAACTTGATATTGTATTGGATTATCTGTAGTTATCTTTCGTTTTTCTTAAAGTAAAAGAGATTCAAAGCCTAAAACTGTCGGCCTTGGAAAATTTTGTCGAAGAAAATCTTCCAAGAACAAAACTAGCCCCTGAGGGTGGTGGTGAGTTGTGTACAAAATTCCTTAGTGGGAGAGTATACTCGCGCAAAAAACAACAACAACAACAACAACAACAACAACAACAACAACAACAACAACAACAACAAAACAGTGTACTGCATTTCGATTCGATTTCACTGCATGGTTTTTATTATGGGAGAAATTATCTTCATCTCGAATTAAAAAAAATTGAAGATTTTTTCCCCGGTCTTATTTTGACCTTTCAGTTTCATTCAAATTGTTCTCCCTGTGACTTCCGTATTGGGAGCTCCGCTTTTAGGCAGTGCCTAAATATATATATTAAACGTAGCAGCAGGCTCTGTAATCTCTTGGGTGCTGTTGTTAAGGGTTTCTTTGTTATGGACACTAGAGGTTTGTGGTCGGTGTACAGTGTGACCTTTCGACCATACACATATTGGTGGTTGTGTTCAAACCCGAATACTTGTGCTAAAAGTTCTTTCTCAATCTGAGAATAGTTCTGTTCTGCTGGAGTGTGAGCACTACTTGCGTACCTGATTGAATGATCTTTCTGTGTTAGCACAAATCCTAGTCCCTTTGAGATGATGCATCTCCGCTTCCTTCTGTTGGCTTTGACGAGTCAAAGTATTTGAGAACTGATGCTGATGATACTGCTTTCTTGATATTGCTGAACGCTCGCTCTTGTTCGTCTTTCCATTCCCATGGCACATCCTTGTGGGTTAAACGTCTGAGTGGTTCGCTCATTTGTGAGAGGTCGCTGAGAAACTTTGATAGGTACTTGACTATTCCGAGTTGACGCTGTAGAACAGGTATGTCATCTGGCTTCTTCATGTTAAGTATGGCATTGACCTTGTTCGGGTCTGGCTTGAGTCCTTCTTTTGTAAGGCGGTGACCGATGAAGCTTACTTCATCCTTCTTGAAATCAAACTAATCTCTGTTGAGCTTAATGTTCTTCTTGCGACATCTGCGTAGAAGATTCTCTAGGTTACGGTCGTGATTCTGGTCTGCTAGTTGGTCGTTATCTTCTTGTCCCGTTATCAATATGTCGTCTGCAATCTTGAAGACTCCGCTGAGGCCTTCGAGGTTTTGATCTAGTTTCATCTGGAAGATTTCAGGAGCTGGGGCGATGCCAAAGGTCATTCGGTGATATCTGTAATGGCCCCATGGTGTCTGGAATGTTGTTAGGATGCTGGACTCTTCGTCTAACTCAACTTGTAGAAATCCTTCTTTAAGATAAGCTTTACTGAAGACTTTGGCTTTGCTTAGTTCCGGTAGCAACTCTTCGATGGTTGGCAGAGGGTAATGGCTTCTCAAGTGCGCAGTTCAGATTTTGAGGATCAATACATAGACGCACAGTTCCGTTAGGTTTCAACACAGTTATCATGCTCGATACCCAGTCTGTCGGTTCTTCTACTGGACTTATCACTCGTCTTTCCGTCAGGCGGTCTATTTCTGCTTTCAGTTTGCCCTTGATGGAGAGAGGTACGCGTCGTGGTGGGCTCACTGTTGGCGTAATATTTGGGTCTGTTTCTAAGTGAACTTTCCCTTCCATACGGCCTAAATCGTCTCCAAATACATCTGCATATTCCTTTAGGACGCTCTCCTTGGTGAGGGGATTGGTTTCCACTGATGCCTGTTCAGCTACATGGAGGATATTCTCGGTTCGTACTTTTAATAGCTTCATTGTTGTTGCTGTTCGCCTTGTACTACGATGAAGTCGACATTATAGTTTTCGGCGTTCTTTGGATTTTTTCGTTCCGATGCATGTGATGAATGTAGCGACTCGGTAGTCATCGCTTTGGTCCTTGAGCTTTGTCACGTGAGCTCGTAGGCATTTTATATCTGTTTCCATTGCTTCCAATTCGCTAGATTGCCTTTAAGTTGAATTTTAGGCGGTATTGGTACGTTACTCGTAAAGAGTAGCGGTGAAACGTCAGCATGAGCGGGCGCTTCCTCGGGCATTTCGACTGAATTTTGAATGAATCTAAACTCTTCTCACCCTTCCAAGGCTTGAAAATGTATACGTCAATATTCTTAAATGTGTTCTGACGCCATGTAACGTCTTGGGGTTGTCTCGTGAAGTAGATATTATAACCAGAGAGTGAGACTATACATTTTGAACTACTCCATGCCTTTAATCGGTTCTCTCTCTAAAAGCACATGTAAATACTACAACTTTATTGGTCCGTGAGATCACGTGACACCAAGAGATAATACGTGTTTTAGATGTGATAAACCAGGTCACTCATCTAATTCATGTAAACATAAAGAAGCTACATGTTATTTTTTCAACAAAAAAGGACATATCGAAAAAGCATGTTTAGCTAAACGCAGACAACAAACACGCCGCCATACACGCCGGAATGTACACGCCCTCGATAACAATGCTTATAACGAAGACGAGTCGGACAGTGAAAGTGAACTTCCCGTAGGAAGCTCAGACATTAATTAAAGAGGAACCGCAACCAGTATTTCTGAAAGCCAGAMAACTACCATATGCCTTGAGACCAAAGGTGGAGCGAGAATTAGACGAGCTAGAGAAAATGGGAATAATATCCGAAGTGGAAACAAGCGAATGGGCCACACCCATAGTTCCCGTACTCAAGAAAAACGGAAAAGTACGAATCTGTGAAAATTAAAGCTCACAGTTAATCCCCAGTTTGCAGTGGACCAGTACCCGTTACCCAGGATAGAGGATGTGTTCGCATCTTTAGCAGATGGAGAAAAGTTCACAAAGATCGATTTGAGGCAAGCCTACCTACACATGGAGATGGAAGAAAACTCAAAGAAGTATTTAACTGTGAATACGCTCAAGGGTCTATACCAATTCAACGAGATGTTGTTTGGAATCGCGTCTGCACCAGCAATATGGCAGAGGRCTATGGAACAGATTCTGCAAGGAATACCATCAGTCCAATGCATCCTAGATGACATGATAATAACTGGTAAGGACAATACCGAACATTTTAACAATCTGGAAAGTGTGTTGAGCCGTCTGCAACAGTACCAACTCAAGGTCAACCTAGACAAATGCCAGTTCTTCCAAGATGAGATCGAATACTGTGGACACAAGATAGATAAGCACGGCATACACAAGACAGAAGAAGAGATTAAAGCAGTGCGTAACACTCCAGCACTCAAGAACGTAACTCAGCTTCGCGCATTCATTGGCCTCGTAAATTATTACCACAGATTTCTACAAGACCTAGCCTCGGTAATGAGACCACTCCACCAGCTACTGGAACAAGGTAAAGCATGGCAGTSGACGAAAGCATGTGACAAAGCCTTCGATAAGGTAAAAGAGATGGTCACGYCAGATTTGGTATTGTGTCATCATGATTCCAAGAAGCCTATCCGCTTAGCATGCGACGCGTCTCCGTATGGAGTCGGCGCAGTTCTATCCCATATCATCGATGGACAAGAAAGACCAATAGCATTCGCTTCTCGCACCTTAACGAAAGCAGAGAAAAACTACTCTCAAATTGACAAAGAAGCATTAGCAATCATCTTTGGAATCAAACGATTCCACACCTACCTTTACGGAAGACAGTTTACATTGGTTACGGATCATCAACCACTAGTAACCATCTTCAGCCCAACCAAAGGCATACCAGTGACCACAGCTACAAGACTACAGCGATATACTTATGACATAGAGTATAGGAACACTAAGCGACACACTAACGCTGGCGCCCTTTCAAGACTACCGTTCGAAGTAACCCCAGAGGATCAAAAGGAAGAAGCTGTTGACATTTTCCACTTAAGTCAGTTTGAACAGTTACCAGTGACAAGCGCAACAATCAGACGAGAGACAACAAGAGACAAGACCTTAAGTAGAGTCTATGAACAGCCCATGTCTGGATGGTCAAATAAGCCAGACGACAAGGTACTACTGGCGTACTACAATCGTCGAGATGAAACCACAATGTATCAGGGATGTCTCATGTGGGGAATACGAGTAATCATTCCAGACACCCTAAGGAAACAAGTAYTGGAGGTCATCCATTCRACTCACCTAGGCGTAGTRAAAATGAAAGCYCTCGCTAGAAGTCACATCTGGTGGCCAGGAATCGACTCCGAAATTGAACAGATAACCAAAACCTGCTCTGGTTGTAACAAAGTACGAAACAACCCAACAAACATACCTATCCACCCGTGGGAATGGCCAAGTTCACCTTGGGAACGGATCCATATCGATTTTGCTGGACCATTTATGAACAAACAGCTTTCGATTATTGTCGACGCACACTGCAGATTGCCAGTAACAAGAAGCACTATTGAGGTACTACGCTCAGTATTCGCAAGAAACGGCGTACCACAGCAGCTCGTTTCCGACAACGGAGCGCAGTTCACGTCAGAGGAATTTCAAACATTCATGAAGAGCAATGGAATTTACCATTTTAGATCAGCACCGTTCCATCCTGCAACRAATGGACAAGCAGAAAGATTCGTGCAAACCTTCAAACAGAGTATGAAGGCAATGAAATCAGAATCAGCCTCTCTAAACAAAAAGATAGCAAATTTCCTACTGATGTACCTCAACACACCTCATGCTACCACTAGCGAAACACCTGCCAAAATGTTACTTGGTCGAAACATACGTTCCCGTCTGGATTTGATGAAGCCAGATGTAAAAAGCACAGTGCAGCAGAAACAAATGAAGAAAGTACTCGAGAAGAAGACACCTATACGCTTGTTTGATAATGGACAACCAGTGACAGTTCGAGATTACAGAGGACAAGACAAGTGGTTCAATGGAACCATCAACACACAACTAGGACCATTGATGTATGAAGTCAAAACAGACGCTGGAAGTTATTGGAGAAGGCACACARACCAAATCCAAGAAAGGAAGCATGATAAAAATCACTGCAACCCTCAACCAAGACCAGCAGAAGATGTCTGCCCATCAGAAGTAGAACAGCCATCAGTCAGCACAACCCAGACAAGCAAGACAGTTACCCCCGCTAAGAGCAATATGGCGCAAGAAGGACAAGGCAAAGGACATTGATACCCAGCAAGGCACAGAAGCCCACCAAAACGTTATATGTATGAACAATATTAGGACAGTCATAAGAGATATGAACATTCAGAGACATTATTTTTGAGTTATTTTTCTATTACAAGTGATACATAACTAAGAAGGAAGGAGATGTTAGATTTGCATTGATTGACACCTGTAATTGTATATGACGCTTACATAATAAAACACAAATACATTACAATTCGTACGGGAGTGACAAATGTTGGTAAATATTCGCTGAACAGACTCCCGTACGAATAACGAACAACCGCAATCCGTTTGAGGAATTTCAACGTAGCATCATTTCAACTCCTGGGGAAGGGGTATTTGACATTAGTAACCGTCCCTAGTGCAGGGAATTTAACAATTTAAAGAGTGCAAAATGTCAAATTCCTCAGATATGCCCGGGGTCCCCCCCTGGGGCAAGACATTGACAAATGCATTATATATAGTCTTGATTTGTTCTAAAAAAAATTCTATTCTAATCACTAGCCCCTGGGGGTGTAGGTGAGTTGTGTACAAAATTCCTAAGTGGGAGAGTATACTCGCGTAAAGAAAGCAAGGTAGTGCATTTCGATTCGATTTCACTGCATGGTTTTTATTATGGGAGAAATTATCTTCATCTCATATAAAATATAATTGAAGATTTTTTTCCCAATCTTGGGCTCCCTGTGACTTGCGTATCGGGAGCTCCGCTTTTAGACACTGCCTAAATATATGTTATCCCATTTATGTTATAAATGAAACATCAGAAAAATCAAAGTAAAGTGATGTAAATCAATAAGACCGGCGAGCTTTCCCTGATATCTAGAATGGGATCTAAGGGAATAACTCCGCATAACAAGCGAACAAACGAAGACGTCCAACAAGATGTAAACAAGATACCCTGACTATATTTAAACTGTCTTGCTCAACTTGACTATTTCAGTCTTAGCGAGTGAAAAACGAGTTTATATTACTAGTTCTCACAAGAACATATCCCTCCACAGGCAGCCCAAACAGGGTTGCTACGGTTACGGTTGTGACTAAATTAACAGGTGCAAAACTCGGTATTTTGATATCTCATACTCATACATAAATTAAATATTTATTATTTTACAGATGGCGGGTAAGACGCTTGACTTTTGCAGTACAGCTAAATTATATTGTGAAAATGAAGAGCAGTTCAACTGGAAATCAAAGAACAATTACATGAAAGAACATGTTGTCTGAAACCGCTACCGCCTGATACAGACCTCTACTGATTAAAAGTGATATGGATTTGACTTGTCCTTGGCAATTCCGCAAATGCTCAATATGTATGTACTTAAAAGCGAATAAAGAAACCATAGTTTCTTAATGTGTTCTTCTTGTTTAAAAAAATTGCCTAAAGGCGCTAACGTAAATAACTTAGATGGAGTAATGAAGGTTAGCGGCCAAAGGTATATTCACGGTTTTATGCCGAACTTAACTTGAGAGAGCGCCATTAGGATTCAAGGGACTTTTCATGTTTGACGGAAAGTCTTGTTCGCTGTAGATTTTTTATAGCACTAAACCTCGTAGTTTCAATCAGATTTTTTTTAATTGAGCTCATTATTTTACATGCAACTTCAGAATTATCTACATTTTGGTTTTTACAATATGTCAAGTTTTATTTTAACTATTATTGACATAACACTTCAACTTGTTCAGTGAATGGCAAAGAACTAAAAAGCATTATCTACTTCAATTTTATGTTGGTGGTTTTAAAAACATATGTATCTCTCTATCATATTTCCTTTTCTCTCTTGAACATCTCCACAGTGTATAGTTGCAAGATATTCAAGTACATTCAAAATTCTTTGTCTTTCACGCTTATTTATTGAGTGATTTGGGTCTATTGTCTTGACTTGTCTTCGCGTCGTCTTGTATCATCTTGTCTTTGGTTAGAATATTTGCTAATTTCTTGATTGAGGGAAGGGCGCCGTTCGAACCCATGACCGGTACAGTAACTTCTGGCGATCTGACAAATCTTATCCAGTTTGGCACGATCCTGAAAGAAAACAAATGTCAATTTATGTAAGCTTACTTTTGATAAGACTAAAACCGTTCAATTAGACTAAATTATTGATGTTAAATATTTTATGGAGACGCTTCTTGCACTGTTTGTATTATTGAGGTTGTGCCTAGGGTATTTATGAATGTTTTGATGTTAAAATGAAGCTAACCGCCCTGAGTAGACCAGTGAGACTGCAATCCAAGTTCATAGTTAATGCATAAAAATAACTATAACTACAATTTAGCTGTCTCTTTTAGGCTTTAGCTCGAAGCTGTATCAAAATTAATATTTCGGCTGGTTTGTCTCTTCTATAATCTAATAATAGATATATACTTATCTAATAGAAATTCTCATTATTATCGGAGTACTAAGGATTCTGTGTTCGTTATAGTAAAATAGTTTATCATTCGTAAGTTATAAAATCTTTACTAAGACTAAACTGAAGGGTTTCCTTCTGTCTTTTTTTTTT